GGAAAATTACATAAATAGTATGTTTGTACAATATATTGGTCTGCAACGTCAATAGATTGGTTCTTCAGATGTCTCGATCATAACTTTTAATTCATAAGTCCAAACAAGATTCCATTTAAAGCGTTGGAAAGCTAACGTGATTTCCTATTAAGTGATAATTGAATAAGAGGCTAAATATGTTGTAAAAATATTATTAATTGATTATAATTACATGTAGCGTTGATGTGTTGTTGATGATGAACGCCATGATGAATATGTTATGGGTTAGGAGTATGAGTTGATGTATTATACATGATGAGTGTAATTGTTGTGCTATTGTGTATTGTTGAGTTAACAAATGAGTTGCATATATGTGAATTGATAATTTTATTGAGTTGACTTATTATATGTGATTGAGTTGTGATGATATGTTGAGTATTGTGTTGAGTTATGGTGTTATCTAAACGAAACAAGGCTAACATTGAAGCTATCAAAGAGTTGTTTAGTAGGTATTCTTCTTACTTTGGGTAGTTTGCCAAACATGCAAAATCTATCATGTATGCAGGTGCTATGACTCCATAGAGACATAATATGCTTGCCTCTGTCATGAACTTTACTGTTGGTCATCTGCCTTTCTTGTGCGTTGGTGCATGATAAGTGCCAAAAATGGTGTATGTGATATATATATATATATATATATATATATATTATATATATATATATATATATATATATATATATATATATATATATATATATATATATATATATATATATATATATATATATATATATAAAGATGTTTGGGGAACACGCGATTCATTGTAAGGAGCTTACAGGCTTCGAATAACGACATGACTTTGTTAGAGAAGTCATGTTTGATATATTTCGACGTGCCAAAGTATTTATGAAAACATATGCGCATGTAAATTTTTTGATTGACCTACGTGAGGGGAGATCGACACCTAGGTCAATAGATATTCTGGTGTATGAGTGTGTAGGAGGGAAACATGTTTGTGTGAACTTGAATGGAGTTTCCTTATTGGTGAGACCGAGGGTTGGTGGTTTTACTGTGGGAAAGGCAGCTCTCAAAGCTTATTCAATTAAAGTGGTCAAACATGAAAAAACGTGTTTCGACGATACTTTTAAAGACTTATGAATAGCAACGTTGTATCTTCTAGATCTATAAATGTAGTTTTTACGAGAATTGATTTTGTCATCCAAAAAGAAGTAGCGACACAACTTTTTTATCCAGCATTCTATTTATATATAAATTTTATTATAGATTCTAAAATAAACAACTCAATAAAGTAAATATGTTTTTAACTAGAAAAAAAAAAGAATACAAAGAATTATACTCAGTCTATTTTATGCACACAAAAAAATCAAAATAGATAGGTCAAGGTTCAGCGAAACCCAAGAGCGTCAGCTCTCAAGGTAGATATTTCTAAGGCCTTCGACACTATCAATTGGATTTTTCTCATCAAGGTTCTCAAGAAGTTTGGATTCAACAATACTTTTTGTCATTGGATTTCAATTATTCTTGAATTATCCATAATTTCTATTGCAGGTAATGGCTCTACCCATGGTTTCTTTCCTTGAAAAGAGGTGTTCGACAGGGGGATTCTCTATCTCCACTCCTTTTCTGTCTGACTGAAGATGTTTTAAGCAGAAATATATCTAACCTAGTGAATATTGGTAAACTTGTTGCAATGAAATCTACTAGGAGTTGCAACTTTCCCACTCACACACTTTATGTGGATGATAATATTGGTTTATTCAAAGGAAGATAAGCCAATCTACTGGCCCTCAAGAACCTATTCCAGCAGTACTCTGATATATCTGGCCAGAACATTAATAATGTGAAGTCCATCCTTTTTCTCGGCTTTATGTCTCCTGCTAGGGCCACCCATTTCATCCAGCTCTCTGGTTTTAACAAAGGTACCATGCCTTTTTATACCTTGGAGTGCCAATTTTTAAGGGTAAGGTTCAAAAATCTTATCTTCAAGCTTTAGCGGACATGATTATTGCTAGATTTTCAGCCTGGAAAGGTTCGAATCTATCTTATGCGGGTAGGGTCACTCTTATTTGTTATGTTATTCATAGCATGATATATCACTCAATTTCTATTGGCTCTTGGCCTATTTCCTTACTCAAAAGTATAGAACAAGACGCCAGGAACTTTATTTGGAATGGTAATATTAAAGATAGGAATCTGGTAACGATTTCTTGGAAAAACATGTGTTAGCCAAAAGATCATGGTGGTTTAGGCATTCAATCCCTCACCACTTTAAATTCTGCAACCAATTTGAGACTTGGTTGGGATATGAGAACTAGTAATGTGCATTGGGCTAAAGTGGTGCGGGCTAGCGTCTTGAGGATTCAAAACATTATAAAGTACCACATCTTCTCTTCCATTTGGTACAATATAAAACTGGAGTATAGTTCACTTCAGTTTAACATGGCTTGGTTGCTTGGTAATGGTAAACAAATTAAATTTTGGAAGGACAATTGGAGTGGAGTCCCTTTGCTGGAGAAAACTAATTTGAATGTTCTGATTGACAATGGTATCGACCCGAATTTATTTGATTGTGATTTTCTGCATAACAGTGTGTGGGCTATTCCTTCTTCCTGGCATTTTATCTTTCTGTTTGTGCTCCAGGTGACGTCTCTTTTCTTTCCTTCTTTAGAAGTTTCGGACAACGGGATTCAGTCTCCATCTTTAGATGGCAACCTCTCTCTCAAAGATGCATATATTTTCAAGTCTGCACCTTCGGTCAGAATTGATTGGGCTAGTCATATTTGGAGTTTAGACCTCCATCCCTTTAAATCTTTCTTGATTTGGTGGCTTATGCATGATAAAATTCCGACTGATGATAGTCTTAAGTTACAAGGTTGCAATTTGGCTTCTATATGCTATAATTGTAAGTATGACTTCAAAACCGTTGATCATACTTTCTTCTGTTTTCCCTTTGCGATCAAAACCTGGAAGTGGCTTTGCAACCAGTTAAATTATCCTTTTAACATCACCTCCAAGGATGATGTTTGTTCTTTATGAAAAATGAGTTCCTCTCCTCAAGGGTCACTTATTATAAAGGTTGATATTGTCAACGCCTTCTTTTTCATCTGGTAGTTATGTAATTTGACAAAGCATCACAATAAAACTTTGCCTTTTCATTCTTTCATCTCTGGCATTGTTGCTTATATTAGATTTTCAGGTTATAGCTTCATGTTTCACTATTTTTCTTCTATGTCAGATTTCAAAATTCTCAAAGCTTTCAATGTGGACTTTCATCCACCTAAGGCTCCCTTGGTTAAAGAAGTTATTTGGCATCCCCCTGTTAGTATTTGACTGAAATGTAATTGTGATGGCTCCTTTGACTCTCTGGATAGTGGTTCAGGGGATATTTTTCATGATTGGCAAGGTATAACTTTGAATAGAGAATGATTTTATCACTGTTGTCAAAGTTTTTTCAAAAGATGTTTTGGTTCATTGGATGCTCAAGGGCAGATGGGGGCACCGTAAACAAATAATTTCTAATATGTCTTTTGTTATTACACACATTTATCGGAAAAGAATATCTTATGCGAACTTTTGTGCTTCTTTGACCCGCACTTCCTGACATCTAACATTTTTTTACTCAATCCCCCTCGCTATTAGAAGTGATTTTGTAAAGAATATATTTGAATTGAATTTCTTTAAGTTTGTCTCCTTCTTAGAGGGTTTTGACATAATGTCTTCTTTTTTTTGTATCACCTTTTCTTTTTACATATTATTACCTTATTTAAAATAAAAAACCCTAGAGCGTCGTACTAAAAAGTCTACCTTATATTATTCTATTTACAAAATTCACCATACAATAATAATTTATTCCGAAAAAATTCTTATATAATGTGTCATTAAAAAATATTAAATATATTTTCTTTTATTATAAGATCAATAAATATATTTCTCCTTTATATTAATTTATTTGCAAAATTCATTTTACAGTAATAATTCATTTATAAAATATCCTTATTCAAAGCGTCATTAGAAATCATAAAATATATTTCCTTTTATTATAAATCAAATGTAAATGTAGTACATTGTGTTGACGAACTTATTACTCGACTATTTTTTTTTTAATATTTTTTGATAAATAATAAAGGATGTAGGGCACATTTGATTTAACTTTTTAAAAAAATAATTTTTATAGTGTTTGTTAAACAAAATTGCAAAGAATTTTTTAATAAAAGTTTTAAACAAAAAATTTGATTTGAATAGTTATTTTTAAAATCTTATTTTAAATATTTTATTTTTAAATATTAAATTTTAAAAAAATCACTTAATTTTATAGCTTTTTTAAATAGTTTTTATGAAAATTATTTTTGAAATATAACTTTTTTTAAGAACACAATTTTAACTATATTTTGATCTTCAATAATTGATATTTATTTTATAAAATGTTAAAACTAATCTCTAATTTATAAAAATCAAATTTCAATTTTTTTTAATATTATGAAAAACATTTTATAAAAATCATTTTAAAAATATAAAGAAAAAATCTACTTTTTACAATCAGATAGTTAATTATGGATGAAAATAAATACAAATATCCATTCATAATATTAACGATATTTAATTACATATGGAAATAAATGTAAATGAAAATACATTCTAAAACAAAAATATCCATTCATAATATTAATGATATTTAACCACGTATGGAAATAAATACAAATGAAAACACATATTCTAAAACAAAAATGTTCATTCATAATGTTAATGATATATAGCGCTGGAATGACACTTTAAAAAAAAATAAACAAGAAATAAAAAAACTAATAAGGACTATAAAATTAAAGTCCTCCAAATTACTAAAAACTATAATAAAGCTTAAAAATGAAAACAAAAACTAAAAAGGACTCCTAATAAAATTTAAAGTCCTCTTAATCATTTAAAAAAAAGAAAGACTTGATTATATTTTATCCCTAGCAAAATAAAAATATTCTTCTTGAGGTTGGTAAGTAAAGCACGCAAATTAAGCAGCGTTTGGAGCGCGGACAAAGTTGATACCACCAGCTTCCAAAATTGCTGATGTTAAGCGATTAGCATTAATCGCTTCCTTGTAATCCAAACTCTCATCTTCATACACCTCCCACCACTTCTTCACCAACATCTTTATATCTTCTCTCTGCATATTCTGCTCCACACCAGTGTACCTCCAAGGCTTTGAACCCTGTAAATTAATTAATTAACCCAAGTTTAAGAGATATTTAAATCTATATTCTAAATAACGCAATAACAAAAACTTACAGCAGCACAGTAATGAACAACTTTAACTTTCTCAAGTTCAACATTCTCAGGGTGACGCCACAGCATAGCCAGCACAAGATTGTAAACATTAGGAATTGGCTTATATTTGTCATTGAAGTACATGTTCAAAAAATCCTGCAAAATATAAATAAAGACTTATTAATTAAGCATGTTTTTCGAACTCATAATTTTTAGTAATTAAATATTACTAGTACCTGTTCAGCAAAGGAAGTTGGTTTAGTAACTTGAAGTTTTTGAAGAAGATCATGATAAGTATCCATATTAGGTTCATAAACAAACATGCCGGCATTGAAGTAAAGAGGTGGTTTGGGACCAAAATTACTAGGCCATTGAACCTTGTCAGGACATTGTTGACAGTAACCGATTTCATATTGCTTAGTATGACCCCATGTGGCCTCACAAAAACAATCCATCACAGCATAGAAATAGTTATTTGGCAACTCAAATAAATGATCAATGTTTTCAAAAACTTGTATATCACCATCAAGGTAAATCATCTTCTCATATTCCTCAAACTGCAATGTTTATTTATTTTGTAATTAGAGTCATGATTAATTAAAAAATAATTAATTAGAGATTATGTATACTTACCGCCCAAATACGTAGCTTGGAGTAGTTGATGACATAATAAGCCATAGCAAACTGTGTTTGGTTCTCAGGTGGGTAAACAGGTTCAATCTCTCTAACAATGCAACCTTGTGAGATGAGAATATTCCTGTGTTCCGCCGGAACATCAGGCAACACTGCAACCACAAGAGGGTACATGGTTCCAACCTTACGGAGACCTTTGGCTAAACCAACAACACCTTTGACGTAGTCACCGTTTCCGGCAAGGAACGTGACAAAGGCACGTTTCGCGGTCTTCGATTGTGCGTCAGTGATGTTGGTTGCGGCGGCTACGATATCTGGAGACATGATTTCTGTGAAAGTTGAAAATGGTTGAAAAAGCACAAAGAATGTTTGTGAATGTTTTGATGTTTCTTGTGTTGGTTTGAGAAATGGTGTTGTTGCTTATATAGAGTTTTCGAGGGTATTCTTGACATTTCGTACTAAATTTTAATCTTGGAACTATAAGATGGAGGAGGATTGCATTGCATTGATTATTAATTAATTAAAAATAAAAAGTTACTATAACTATAACTTGATTGACGTCTTTTACATTATTTGATTACGGATTATTTAATTAAAAATTATTATTATTATAATTATAAAGTTGACATTAGACTTTGTATGATTTGATTATGTATTAATTAATTAAAATTTTAAAATTACTATAATTATAAAGTTAACACTAGTTTTTGCATGATTTGATTATGTATTAATTAATCAAAAATTAAAATTAATATAATTTTTAATTTGACACTAATTTTTGTATGATTTAATTAGGTATTATTTAATTAAAAATTAAAAATTATTATAATTATAAAGTTGGCACTAATTTTTATTGCGTGATTTGATTATGTATTAATTAATTAAAATTTAAAATTACATACTAAGTTTTAATCTAACGGTTAAAGAGGTGATCTTGGAATTATAGGGTGGAGGAGGATGGCATTGCATTGATTATTAATTAATTAAAAATTAAAAATTAAAAATAAAAAATCACCATAATTATAAAGTTGACACTAGTTTTTGCATGATTTGATTATGTATTAATTAATTAAAAATTTAAAATCACTACTACAATTATAAAATTGACACTAGTTTTTACATGATTTAATTATGCATTAATTAATTAAAAATTAAAATTATTATAATTATAAAGTTGACACTAATTTTTATTGAATGATTTGATTATGTATTAATTAATTAAAATTTTAAAATCAATATAATTATAATTCTCACACTAGTTTTTGCTTTATTTGATTATGTATTAATTAATTAAAAATTAAAAATTACTATAACTATAAAGTTAACACTAGTTTTTGCATGATTTGATTATGTATTAATTAATCAAAAATTAAAATTAATATAATTTTTAATTTGACACTAATTTTTGTATGATTTAATTAGGTATTATTTAATTAAAAATTAAAAATTACTATAATTATAAAGTTTACACTAGTTTTTATTGCATGATTTGATTATGTATTAATTAATTAAAAATTAAAATTTACATATTAAGTTTTAATCTAACGGTTAAAGAGGTGATCTTGGAATTATAGGGTGGAGGAGGATTACATTGCATTGATTATTAATTAATTAAAAATCAAAAATAAAAAATTACCATAATTATAAAGTTGATACTATTTTTTGCATGATTTGATTATGTATTAATTAATAAAAAATCAATTATAAAATTGACACTAATTTTTATTGTATGATTTGATTATATATTAATTAATTAAAATTTAAAAATCACTATAATTATAAATCTGACACTAGTTTTTGCATGATTTGATTATGTATTAATTGATTAAAAATTTAAAATCACTATAATTATAAAATTGACGCTAGTTTTTACATGATTTGATTTTTTATTAATTAATTAAAAATTAAAAATTACTATAATTATATAGTTGACATTAGTTTTTATTATATGATTTGATTATGTATTAATTAATTAAAATTTTAAAATCACTATAATTATAAAATTGACACTAGTTTTTGCATGATTTGATTATCTATTAATTAATTAAAATTTTAAAATCACTATAATTATAAAATTGACACTAATTTTTGCATGATTTGATTATGTATTAAATAATTAAAATTTTAAAATCACTATAATTATAAAATTGACACTAGTTTTTACATGATTTAATTATGTATTAATTAATAATAAATTAAAATTACTATAATTATAAAGCTGACAATAACTTTTATTGTATGATTTGATTATGTGTTAATTTATTAAAATTTTAAAATCACTATAATTATAAATCTGACACTAGTTTTTGCTTGATTTAATTATGTATTAATTAAAAATAAAAAATTACTATAATTATAAAGTTGAAACTAATTTTTATTGCATGATTTGATTATGTATTAATTAACTAAAAATTTAAAATCACTATAATTATAAAATTGACATAAGTTTTTGCATGATTTGATTATGTATTAATTAATTAAAACTAAAAAATTATTATAATTATAAAATTGACACTAGTTTTTGCATGATTTAACTGTGTATTAATTAATTAAAATTTTAAAATCACTATAATTATAAAATTGACACTAGTTTTTGCATGATTTTATTATGTATTAATTAATTAAAAATTAAAAACTATTATAATTATAAAGTTAATACTAGTTTTTGTATGATTTGATTATGTATTAATTAATCAAAAATTAAAATTAATATAATTATTAATTTGACACTAATTTTTATATGATTTAATTAGATATTATTTAATTAAAAATTAAAAATTACTATATTATAAAGTTGACACTAGTTTTTATTGCATGATTTGATTATGTATCTTTTACAATTTATTATAATTTAAAATAAATATATTTTAAATGTATTAGTTAAAACAGTCAAATTTACATTTAACAAAATTTTATGAATCTCTTGCTTTAATTTTTCTCTATTTTTTCTCTGTCGTTTTCATTTAAACTTCAATCATTATCTATTATAGATCACTCATATTATATCATTTGTCGCCTGTCGATAAAATTACATATATGCGTTGAATACATTTTGATATTATGTTTAATTTCACATACCCACACAGACGCACACACATGTAATTATTTACACGTGTTTACTGTTAATTTTAAATAAAATATAATTTAATAATAATAATAATATACAAAATATTATAAGTTATTAATTAAAGAATGTTCTTGTATGTTATTTTACATTTATCAGTTACTAGAGCTACTATTCTATCAGACACTTTAATTAACTTATTACCTATCAATCATCAGTTATCAACTATCACTCATTAGTTATAAGATATCAACTATAAGTCATAGGTTAAAAGCTATTAGCTAACTCATCAACTATTAACTATTTTTGCCAAACATAGTCTTAATTGTGAAACTATCCCCAAATGGTACTAAATGATATAGTCGTTTCAAGTTTGAGAATAGTCGGTTAAATGAGTCAGATTTTAAGAACTTTGTCATTCATTAATGGTAAAACTATGATGGTGACACTATTATGGAAAATGTTGATATATATGAATTGATTCATGAAGGTTTTGCTTCCATAAATCAGATCATGGACATGCTTGAATCGATTCGAGCTGGTGTGAGGTTCAATTATGTTTTTGTGAATCGGATCATCAAAGTTTATGAATCGATTCATGAACTCATAAATTGCTAGAAATATTAGTTTTTATGTTCTAAACCCTTAATTAAGTTGACTAATCACCCTTGAAGTTTGTGGAGGTAAGGATAATGGCAATGCAACCATTGTTCAAGATGATTTCGACTCATCTAATGTTTTTGTGGTTTCAAGCAGTAACTCGAGTAAGGAGTGGATTATGGATTTAGGTTGCACTTGGCACTTGGCACATGACTCCAAACAAAGACTTGTTCGAGGAATTATGTGATCAATATGGTGGATATATATTGCTGGGAAACAACAAAGCTTGCAATATTTCAGGTGTTAGATCTGTGAGATTCAAGCTCCATGATGAGTCAATAAAGTTGTTGACTGAAGTTAGGTATGTACCTGATTTAAAGAGAAATTTGATTTCTCTTGGTGAATCCGACAAGAAAGGATATGTTTTCCAAGGAGAGAAATGTATCCTAAGAGTCATGAAGGGGTCGAAGGAAGTCTTAAGAGGCGTGAAGAAACAAGGCTTGTATATCCTTGAGGATAAAGTTATAAGTGGTTCGACAAATGTTGTATCCACGAAACCTTTGTCGAAGATAGAAATTTGGCACATGAGATTGGGCCATGCCAGTGAAAGGGGTCTGGTCGAATTGGTGAAACAAAATTTACTTGGTGGAGACAAAGTCGAAAAGTTGATGTTTTATGAACCATGCTTACTTGGAAAATCTTGCAGAGTGAAGATCAACAAAGGAAAACAAAGAACACATGCATCCCTTGATTACATCCATGCTGATCTTTGGGGGCCTACAAGGTGTCCATCACATTCAGGAGCAAGGTACTTTCTATCCGTAGTAGATGATTATTCTAGAAAGTTATGGGTATTCATCCAGACTAATGATGAAACTTTTGAAAATTTCAAAAGTTGGAAGACTCTGGTCGAAAATCAAACTAGCAGAAAAGTCAAGAGGTTGAGAATCGACAATGGCCTTGAATTTTACAATGAGGCTTTCCACGGCTTTTGTGCTGCCTCTGGTATTGCAAGACACCGAACTACTGCAGGTACTCCACAACAAAATGGTTTGGCTGAAAGGTTTAATCGAACTATTTTAGAGAGAGTTAGATGCATGTTGACTACTGTTGGGTTAAAGAAGGTGTTTTGGGTTTAGGCTGTTTCGACGACAGCAACATATATGATAAATGGATGCCCTTTGTCTGCCTTAGATATAAAGATACCTGAAGAAGTTTGGTTAGGTGATCCACCAAATCTCGACAAACTGAGAGTATTTGGGTGGGTAGCCTATGCTTACGTTAGGAAATACAATGTGGAACCTAGAGCTCTAAAATGCATGTTCATGGGATACACTGAAGGAGTCAAAGCTGATAGACTATGGTGCCTAGAGCCAGGTGTGATACAGTGGGAGAAATGACTTGGGTGTTTTGCGTTTTATCGCAAATGTTGCAGTTAGCAAGAGTCGCCACCGACTTTTCTTTTATCCAAAAGGAAAGGCTGAAAAGAACAGGAAAGACATTTGAGATTATTTCTTGAGTTCAGGGGGTAGATTATGAAAAGGAGAGGTATTAGCACCTTTTTCATCCATAATTATCTATGGGCTCTTAGTTGCTTGCTAGATAACTTGCTTTTGTTTGAAAATGTGTTTTGTGTGGTTTTTGAAAGTATTTTGAAAAG